GATTGGAGGTGCAATGAGGGTGGGAGAAACAGAATCTGAGATTGGAGACGCAATGAGGGTGGGAGAAATAGAATCTGAGATTGGAGGAGCAATGAGGGTGGGAGAAACAGAATCTGAGATTGGAGGTGCAATGAGGGTGGGAGATACAGAATCTGAGATTGGAAGAGCTGCGAGGGTGAGAGAGAGACAGAATCTGAGACAGGAGGAAAATTCAAACCAACATAATTTTTTCTGCAAGTTGAAGATCTAGGCAGAAAGAATTCTGTTCAGAGCAAAAACTCAAAACTTGGGACTTAATGGCTAGTTGATATCTTATGTTTTTCCACCTGAAGTTTATTTTCAAAAATCCCGTGATTAGTGTTTTTGTTGATGTGGAGGACGGTGAGTGGCTGTTTCTGCAGCAATGATGCATTAAGGTTGGCCATTTAAAACTACTTTTAAATAGAGGCCTCCAAGCCTCATTCCTGTCCCAGTCATAACATCTCTTATTTAAGTAGGAAAGAAAGAAAAGAACTGGGTTAATGGCACCAGTGACAGCGCAACCAGAGGAGACAAGGAGAACAAGATCGGATGGATCCAGTGCAGGGAATGTGATTCCGGTTGTGACTCTGTAACAGAGGGAGGAAAGAGAGAGAGAGAATGCTCCTGGGAGGGAAGGAGAGAAAAGAAACTTTTGTGGAGGCAGGGAAAAGAGCATGATGGTGCGGGGGGGTGATTGGAAGAGAAAAGATGGTGGAGAGTGAAATAAAGGGTCAGGAAGAGAGACAGAGAGTCAGGGAATGGGAGAAGAGAGACTGTGGGGGGAGAGAGAGGATGAATCATAGAATCCCTACAGTATGGAAACAGGCCCTTCAGCCCAACAAGTCCACACCGACCCTTGGAGCATCCCACCCAGACCCATCCCCCTATAACCCACACACCCCTGAACACTACAGGCAATTTAGCAAGGCCAATCCACCTAGCCTGAACATCTTTGGACTGTGTGAGGAAACTGGAGCACCTGGAGGAAACCCACACAGACACAGGGAGAATGTGCAAACTCCGCACAGACAGTCGCCTGAGGCTGGAATCGAACCCACGTCCCTGGCGCTGTGAGGCTGCAGTGCTAACCACTGAGCCACCATGCCGCCCCAAATGTGAGAAGTTATTTAAAAATTTTCCATGGTTCTTTGAATATGATGGTTAATGTCATTTTTTTTCTTGAGTTATTTCTAAGAAACTCAGTTTGGGGTGTGTGGATTCAGTCTACTTAAAAAGCTCATGGAGGTTTATTTAACAGATCAGGGCACAACATGCAGTTTCAGATAACTATGTCCACAATCTGCTTCTGAGTTCCTTCTCCTGCAACTTCTCATAGCTGTTGGTAATGTGGTTTATAAGCTTACCTTTGATTAGTTAGCACATAAAAAAGCTCTTATAAAAGTCAATAATGCACTAACACAACATCCCCATTTCCCCCCAAGATAACAGGACAAAGACTAAGACTGAAAATATGTATACATTACAGTAGTTGCAAACCTGTTACACAGAAACAAAAAGTGAAATATAAAGACTCAAGGAGTGGGTATAACTTATAGGTAGTATGACAATCCTTCTGATGATCTCGACTCCACATTTGGGTGTTCTCAACTCAAAGATGTGTTGGAGTCTTGAAAAATTGTTGTCCTGATGTATTCCTGCACCTTTATTTTCCAAGCTTCTTTTTGTGGATAATTTGTATGCAATTTGAGTGTTGTACTGTTCCCTGCTTTTAGGCCATGAGATATGAGAGCAGAATTAGGCCACTCAGCCCACTGAGTCTGCTCTGCCATTCAATCACGGCTGATACAGTTACCAGCCCCACTCACCAGCCTTCTTCCTGTCACTCTTGATCCCCTTACTAATCAAGACCCAACTTACCTCTGTTGTAAATACACTCAATAATTTGGCTGCCACAGCCTTCTGCGGCAATGAATTCCATTGATTCACTACCCTCTGGCTGGAGAAATTCCTCCCCAGCTCAGTTCTAAAGGGTTGGCCCTTCAATCTGAGCCCGTTCCCTTGGGTCCCAGTCTTTCCTACTAGTGAAAACATCTTCTCAACATCCACTCTATCCAGGCCTCACGGTTTTCTGTAAGTTACAATGAGATTACCCCCTCATCCTTCTAAACTCCATCAAATACAGATCGGGAGTCCTCAACTGCTCCTCAGATATCAAGCCCTACATTCCCAGAATCATTCTTGTAAACTTCCTCTGGACCCCCTTTCAATGCCAACATATCCTTCCTTAGATACAGGATTTCTCTTTTTCTTCAATGTTGCACCATTCAGTGTTGTGACTTCACTGGAGCTAGACTCACTTTAGGTACCTTTACAAGTAACTATGTTCTCTGTGTATGATCTGACGTCCTGATAGAAGGAGCTTGGTGAAAATCAAGCTCCATTTTACCAAAAGTTTAAATGTTTTATGTAATCAAAAAATCATCAATATGTTTCCCTCTATTACTATTATCTTGAAAAAAGATTTTCACCAGATTTATTCAATGAACTCAAAAATAACACACATAATCATAATGTATTCTCATGGAGAAACCAGTTATTAACTGAGTTACTATGGAGAATTAAACTCTATCCCCCTTAATCTGTATCATGAGTGAGAAAATACAGGAAAAAGCCCTGTGGATATTACGAATCCAATATAATAGAATAGAATGAGCTGACTTACTCACAATTGTTATGGACGAGACCAAACCCCCTTCAAACATATCAAGGAGATAGCCTAAACCCTAACTTTTATCTTATTTAAAGCCAAGTATAAGGTGTTGTGTTCCAGATGTGATTTGATTGGTTACACTACTGCTTTAAGCAAAACACACTTTTTTCTAACCCTACAGCTAAAATACAACAAAAGAAAGAAGAATTGGTATAACTTTAACTCGACTGGAAAAATTAACAGAATAATAGATTATTTAACTACTGTTCCAATATAGTAACCTGCCAATTAACACACCCTAGGCAAAGGCAAAGTCAGTAAAACACATTCTCTCAAATGCAATTCTGGCAGAGCCCAAGCTCTTAGATGCAGCAGAGAGAGAGAGATTTGGCAGCTTCTACAACCAGCTTCAGACCCCCAACAACCACTGAATGGTAAACTGAAACCCTGGTTCTGTGGGAGCCTGATTCCATCCATTCATGCAGCTTCAATTGTTCCAATTTGAAAAAAGAGGCCTCACAAGGAATTTACTTTATTGGTTTGGAACAGACAGCTTGGAATGTATGGCTCAAAACTGCTCTAATAAAAGTCCCGGACAAAATACAGCTTTGAAAGCCATAATATTGTCGTACAGTTCCTTTGCTTTCCTGTCAATGAGATGATGTTGCTGTTGGCCACAGAGTAGTGGAAGACACTCAGTTCAGGTAGCAGGTCATTTGGACCTAGATCCTACAGTTAAGTTTAGGTTTCAAAGTTTACAAGAGGATCAGAGATACTGATTCTTGTCCATTTTCTGTTTCTCAGGGAGAACTTCACTGTGATATTGCTTCAACTGTTTTTCTTTATGGATTATTTTGGTACTTACTGAGAGCTAAAGAGGAATATATCTTCCCTTTTACCAGCTTATTCCAACTGCCCATAGTACTGACATAAGAACACACAGCACTTAGTCCAGTGGCTGTTGCAAGGTGACAGCAACATGAATTCCTTATGGTTTTTCCAAGTATGCTGCTCAACAAGTCATAAGTGTTAAAATTGCACCTCTTATTTCTTCTTGAAAAACCCCAGTGGGCTCTCCAAAGTCAATTGACTTTTCAGTAAACAGCAGACAATCCATAGTTCACTTTGTTCTTTCTCCTCGTAATTTCTAAGATATTACACGATAACATTTTTTAATCCGGAAATGTCCAACTATATCCATATTCCAGTTCTTATAATCCATAAATGTATGTGTTCTTGCCAGCCATGGTGTTACAGATTGTGGCTAAATACAATTCTGATGTTGCTGATGGCACATGGCACCTCATGGATGCCTAATCTTGAGTTGGGAGTCCTGTTTGAAGTCTGTCCCATTTACCATGGTGGTGCTGCCACACAACGTGATGGTGGGCATTCCTCGATGCAAAGGTAGGACTTTGTCTCCTCACTGACAGTACGGTGGTCAGTCCTAGCAACACTGTCATGGACAGGTACATCTACAACAGATAAACTGTTGAAGATGAGGTCAAGTGATAATGCTTTTCCTCAATTTGGGACCGTCACCACCTGCCACAAACACATCCTCACAGCCATGTCCTGATGAACGCCAACCAGAGTATATTTTGTGCCCTTGCCATCCTCAGGACCTCTTCCAAATGGTGTTACCATTGAGGAAGCACACATTAATCAGCTGAGGGGTGGCAGGAGGTGGGTAATCAGCAGGAAATACTTTTCTATGGCAGGCTGTTGTAGACAAGTCTGTGGGACATTTCTTCTAATTTTGGTACAATCCTGCCAGATAGGACTTAGCAAGGTCAGCTGGGTTTGCTGTTGTCATTTCCAATGCCTACGTCGATGTTCACTGGATCTCTATTTTCTTTATTCTTTGTAGCAGACCACATTTCTGTGGATCTGGAGTGACATGTTAGCCAGACCAGGCATTAGTGAATTAAATAGGTTTTGATGACCATTGATATTGGTTATAAATCAGTCATGATATTTGTGAATCATTGAGGTCCATGGAAGATTGCCGACTGAGTGAATATTTGCCACACACTTTACTCTTTAATATTTTCTCCAATGTGATTGCGCTGGTGTGCAAAGAGGTCTGTTAACTGCAAGAATGAATTTGCACACACCTTACACGTGAATGGTCCTGTGTGAATGCGTTGGTGCATACAGATTATTGCTGACTGTGAGAATGGTTAGTCACACACCTCACATGTAAATGGTTTTTCCCCTGTATAGATATGTTGATGTACTTGAATTTGGGAAGACTGTAAGAATGATTTGTCACACACCTTGCACATGAATGGTTTCTTGCCTGTGTGGATTATCTGATGGAGCAAGAGGCTGCATGACCTTGAATGGTTTCTCCGCAGTGTGAATTTGGCGGTGTCTATGGAGGCTGAATGACTGTGAGAATTTGTTGCAAACCTCACACATGTATGGTTTCTTTCCCATGTGAATCCTCTGATGAAGCAAGAATCTTGATGAGTTGCAGAATGATTTGTCACACACGTCACAATTAAATAGCTTCTCCTCTGTGTGAATACGTTGGTGTATGCGGAGGTTTCCTGGCTGGGAGAATGATTTGTCACACACCTCACAACTAAATGGTTTCCCTTCTGTGTGGATGCGTTGGTGTGTGTGAAGCATCTCTGATCGTGAGAACGATTTGTTGCATACCTCAGAAGTGAAAGGCTTCTCCCCTTTGTGAACACGTTGGAGAACACGGGTTTCTGATGATGACGAAAATGATTTGTCACATGCCTTTTATGTGAATGGTTTCTCCCCCATGTGAATGCGTTGGTGTACACAAAGTTGTGATGAATGTGAGAATGATCTGCTGCATATTTTGCATGTGAACTGTTTCTCCCCGTGTTAAAGCGTTGGTGCTCATGAAGATGTGATGAGACGAAGCATGCTCTGTCACACAAATTGCAAGCGAATGGCTTTTCTCCCATGTGAATCCTCTGAGGAACAGGAGCCTTGATGAGTCAGAGAAAGTTTTGTCACTTGAACAGTTTCTCCCCTGCGAGGATGGGTTGGTGTATGTGAAGGTTGCCTGACTGTGACAATGCCTTTCACACCTGAATGGTTTCTTTTCTGCATGGTTATCCCAGTGTCAACTGAGGATTGAATTTGACGAAAATGATGTAAAACCGTCCTCGCATGTCAATGGTTTCTCACCAGTGCAACGGCATTGGTGCACAAGTGGATACAATGACTGGGAGACCGTCTTGTTGCACACCTCACATGTGAATGATTTCTTTCCTGTGTCAATGGGCTGGTGATTCACAAGTGATGACATTGCAAAACACTGGTCACACACCTCACAATTCAATAGTTTCGCATCCGTGTAGTTGCTCTTGTGTTAACAGTCATGGAACAAATACACCTGGTGTTTTGGAAGATGTTATCAGCCCGTGGAGTCCTCCTCATACAACTCACACTTGAACAGCCTCTCACTTGCAGAAATGAGTCAATGGTTCCTGAGACTTGAAACTCTCACCACACTTGGAGCCACTCACACTTCTTCCTAGCCTCACCCTGACCAATCACCCACAGTCAAACCTTCAGAAAGGTTGGTTCTGATGAAAGGCTCCAAACCATAGACCAGTTTCAGATCTGGCAATATGTCAAAGCTCGCATGGCCCGATCAGTTTCCAGATAATGGTTTCACTGCCCAGCCTTCTCTGTGTTGAGCAATGCTGTGAAGGGACTGGATATCTTCCCACAGTTGTGCAGTTGTTCCTTGGGTGAATGTCAGGATCTATCTGTGGTGTTTATCCTGTATTCACTAGTGTAGTACAGCGCAATCTTTCTGTAAAACAGGAAAATGAAACATGATTTCCTGAAATTCCCTCTCCTCCTTTGCTGAAGGGGCTGATTCACAGTCAGTGGCAGCCTGCTATTACCCTGTGTTAGAAGGGAATCAGATGCAAATGCCACATTTTTCCTTGTCTGACCGTCATCATTTGTTTCCACCAGGGACACCGGATAGTGACCAAGAACAGACAATGTGAGTTCTTTTGAAAAACCTAAATATTGTCCTTCAGGCGAGTGAACCTGTTACAATTGCCTATGACTCCAATCCCACACCACATGACCACTGAAGTGGCCAGGGAAAAAATGATAAACAATCAGTACAAAGTCCAATAATGGGGAAAATCAGACAGATCTGGACAATCCTGACACTGTGTCAGAATTAGCTGAATGTGATCTCAGACCAGTGAAATCTGTAAAGTCTCACTTACCACGGTCTGAAGACAGATCACCAAATGAGAAGACATAAACAGAAATTGCTGGAAAAGCTCAGCAGGTCTGGCAGCATCTGTGGAGAGAAATATGAGTTAACATTTTGGGTCAAATGACCCTTCCTCAGAAGTCCCCCAAGTGAGGACAACTGTCCCACAGACTGGTCAATTAGCAGGGATACTGAGTGAATCATATCAATCTGAGATTATACCAGACTCCTCTGTCACCATCCCTGAGTGTGTCCCATCCTATTGGCAGGTGGGCAAATCCTAATTCCTGACCTCACGGAATCACAAGGCTTCAGGTCAAACAAGTTCAAACTGCCACTCCCCTCCCAACTGATGAATGAGTACCTCACAAATCATCAAACTAGTGGATTGGCATGTCAGGAGCAGCGCTGGAGATAAATTGGAGTCCACATTTTAACTGACTGAATGTACTACATTGGGTTACATGCAGACTGAACACCAACAGTAGTGGACAATTAACAGAGTAAAACAGTCCACAGACAGATCATAACAAAGGTCTGCAATCTTACCACATCATGTAGAGAATTGTGGACAACCAAGCAAGCAATAGTAGAAGGCAGCTCCACGAACACACCTCGTCCTGAGGAGCTGGGAGAACTCCCCTCCAGATCACTCTGATCCTCCTCCCCACAGTCAAGAAGGCTTAAGTCAGGAGTGTGATGATCACCTCTCACTCACACGGATGGGAATATCTGCAGCAACACACAACAGTCTTGACAGTATCAAGAACACTGCAGTTCCCTTATAGAGTCTTAACAGCACGGAAACAGAACCTTCATCCACACCGGCCAGACATCCCAATCTGACCTAGTCCGAGCATTTATCAGCATTTGTCCCATATCCCTCTGAACCCTTCCTATTTATATACCCACTGAGTGCCTTTTAAGTGTTGCAATTGTACACACCACCGCTACTTCCTCTGGCAGCTCATTCCGGCTAGATCAGGGCTACTCCCATTTAACTTTCTCCCCTCCCCCTCCAACGCCAGTACACCATCCAATGATATTACATCACAAGAATATTACTTAATATGTGATATTCAGCCCTGAACATTCATGTAGATATTTTGGGATATAATCTGTATAAATTCTCTTTCTCCACTCACTGAATATTTAACCTTTAGCATTAGTATGGATATTATGGGATATAATCTGTCTAAACTTTGTTCCTTCACTCACTGCATAATCGGTCCTGAGCATTAATATGGAGATTATTGGATAAAATCTGAATTCACTCTGCTTGGGCTCTCAATGGACTTTGAGCTCTGAACTGAGGTGGAGCATCACTAGTCTCCCCTGCGACTGGATCTTGCCTTTTTCCTATGCACATTGTCCCAATGCCTGGCCAACATTAATGAGAGGCAGTGATGATAACAAAGAAACTTTCAGAGAATCATCCAGATTCAGAGAATAGATTGGTACAAAAGGAACTATTTGGCCCTTCGAGTCTGTGCTAACTCATGTTAAGAACAATGCAGTTTGTCCATCTCAGACACTACATTCCTAAGCCTAACATTTTGTAGGTTATCTGCCGTCCTTTAGGGAACTGCAATCCAAATCATAACTACACGCTGTCCCTGATTCTATGGCCAATTATCTTTTGTTTAAAATTTCCAAATATTGACCCTCTGCAATTGGGACTGCGTTTTCTTTATTTACTCTGTATAAACCCTTCAGGTCTCATCAGAAGGGAAATGCTTTCAACAAACACACCTCACACAGCTCCAGTCTAACAGTTCAGCACAAGGCACTGAGTAAACAGCTCTCTCAGCTGGATCTTCTCACACAGCATAAGGGACATTTCCACCCCTGATTACCCACAGGATAGTCAGACTGCCTGAAGATTGGTGTGGATACTATGGGATACAATTTGTATAAAAGCTGCTCCTTCACTCACCAGAGACAACAAGGTGCAGGGCTGGATGAACACAGCAGGCCAAGCAGCATCATAGGAGCAGAGAGGCTGACGTTTCGGGCCTAGACCCTTCATCAGAAAAGGGTCT